GCTTTTTTTTTTTTTTGTGAAACGGCTGATAGCAGTTTCTCCTGACTGGTTTTTGTCTCCCCCCAGGCCGTCCTAAGGAGAATGCCGGGTCTGGGGATTCGGCCTTCCGTGGAGAGCTACTCGATCGGATTGACGGCGTGCGCGAAGGGAGGAAGGTGGCAGGAGGCCCTTGTGCTGCTGCGAGAGATGGAGGAGGACGACGAGATTAAACTGGACGTGGTCGGTGAGACAGTCGAGACACAGGCAGATGACACACACACGCACACAGACACGAAAGAGAGGGAAGGAGGAGGAGACAGACACACGCAGAGACAGACAGAGAGACACACACATACACACAGGGAGAGACGCAGAGAGAGAGGGAGCGGTGTGTCGCGTTGCTCCTGTGGGCGTGAGACAACTCAACATTCCATCTGTGACCCGATTTCATCGCCCTTCACTGCCTACCTGACCGTACCCGGAACAAACCCCTGGAGGATCGCTTTTAAGTTGTTGTTGTTGTTCCCGATACCGTTCTCGGAAGAACCGCGGATGTCGGACCAGCCTGGCAACGCCACAACCAGCCTTACACGGCGACCCTAATTAGAAACCTGCCGCGCTGGAACCACTGAAGCGTTGAGTGTCGTCTGGCCCTCTCACGCGCCCTGCCGCTGCTTTGTGTCCTAGTGTTGCTCCTCGTTGGTGGAATGACACTGGTCTCGCCCTTGGCTCACCGTGTGCTGCCTCTGCCGTTGATCGCTCTCGTCTTCTTTTGTTTTGTTGTTGTTTAGCGTACTCCGCGGCCATCACGGCGTGCGCGAACGGTGGGCGGTGGCAGGAGGCAGTGGTGAGTGAACTATCCGCGGGGGGGTCGGTGTACTAATGTAAACGCATGCCGTGATCGTTCCACCGTTGACCTCTCATCCCTACAAAGCTGGGACGGAGCGATATGACCGGTTTTCGCCGGCCCAGGCTATGCGTAGGTGTCATTGTGGGCATACGTATGAACGCAGTGCTCCGCGTGGTTGTTTGTGATTTCGAGGGAGCTTGTCGTGTTGGCTGTGATAGGCAAGGCCGCCGTGGGGTAGGTTTAAGAGAAACCGCCTGCAACGACAGCATATATAGTAGAAGCGTCATGCTATGGGGAAGAAAATGAGAGAAAAGCTGTCCTCCCGTACGATCTCTGGCATCTGAGGAAGTGCAGGAAATGCGTTTTGGCAGAAAATGACGCTGCCCCCCCCCCCCCCCTCCAAGGGGGCCCATTTCGCTGTGACCCCCTACCG